GTCGGTACTTCATATAGGCTTGTGTGTAACAATGAAAATAGACGTTCAATGAAGGAATGTTAAAAAGCGCATTACCGAACGTATCACTAGCCTAAAAGGGGACAATACAATAATAACAGACAGATGACAACCTTCACGTGGTGTTCCTGTTACGTATTTCGAAAGTACGCCAAAGCTTAACAGTACAACGAATGTCGTCACCTGGCAGCCGAACGTTGCGAAAGCAGTCTTTCAGCTCGACTAAGAACAAATCAAACGGTTCTTCTCAGAACCAAACATGTAAACGAGTAAGAAATAATTCCAGTGGCTCTTCTGAGCGTCACAGAGGAAAAATAAATAAACCAAACCGTCCTAAAGAAGGCCATAGAAGAAGAAGAGCAAAGAAACCTAACGGTCCTTAAGAGGGCCATAGAAGAATAATGAAGAAATCCAACAGTCTTTATGAGAGTCAAAGAAATAAAGTAGTGGGCCACACGCTCATCATATTTCAGCTGAAGTTGAAGACATTTCCTACGCAAAATGCGAATATCTATCAAGGATGTTAAAAGAAAACAAGAATGATATTGCTATTCTGCAAGAGACGCACATCGAAGGTGATTGCAGAGCAGCTGGATATAAAATTGCCGGGTTCAGTATGGTCGCTAATACCTCTGACTCCAAATACCACGTAGCTAAATATACCAGATTAGATCTCAAGGATATCGTGGTGATAAGCAGCAGAGAAAATCAGATCGGCGAACATACAGACGAACTAAATGGCCTCTAATTCACTACAGTGACCGTCGGAGAAACCTATAATGAACATATAGGAACCAACTGGCCAACACCACCATTACCAACGATGCCTCACCCAACTGTTTATGCGGGTGACTTTAACAACCACCAGACTTCATGGGGTTACACTGTGAACGCTGTGGCAAGTGAACAACTAACCGAATGGGCATCAGCAGCTGATGTACACTTGTGCCATGATGCTAAACACCAGGGCGCTTTCAGATCAGCAAGATGAAAGACTGATCGTAGCCCGGACCTTTGCTTCGTTTTCAAAGACAGCAGCGGCATTCCGCTTCCTGCTTCCAGGACAGTGCTTGGATCTTTTCCAAGAAACTCCGAATCGGTCTGCAGGTACCGCTAAATCAGTGTGTTCCACTACCTCGCCGGAACTTTCGAAAAGCAAACTGGTCATCGCACATTGCCGAAGTCGAAGACCGTATTCAACGGGTCTTGTCTAAGCCCCAAGCATTTGGCATTTTTGGTCGAATATTGATATCTGCTGCGACAAATAACATCCCTCGCGGATACCGGAAGACCTACAACCCTTGCTGGTCGAACGAGACAGGAACTTTACATGGAGTACAAACGCCGAGGATCTCTGAAACTGCAGCTGCGAATCCTTGATTCAAAGCGGCAGAAACAATGGTGGAAGACTGTGGAAACACTGGATTTAACACATTCCGCGCAAGGCATGGGCACTGCTCCTCCACCTTGGCGCAGCTAAAGCCACAAAGCACCGAGTAGCGAAAGTCTCCGCTGACGCCATTGCTGCTCACCTCCTCCATCCGCCTAAAACACCGACAGATAAAGTCGTCTGCACGACAGTGCAGAAATAATATTTTCTTGCCCTTAACAGCCGCCCTGAAACAAGGCCACTATCCACTACTTATACTCTAGAGGAAATAAACGTGGCGCTCTTGGCAACGAAGAAAGAGAAGGCTGCTGGTGTGGATGAAATTTTCCCGTAATTTCTTAAGAACTAGGGTCCAAAGGGCCGATAGTGTCTGGCCTTCTCTTTTCACGGCAATCCATACAACCGTAAAAATTCCGTCCGCCTGGCGGCGTGTCAGAGTCGTCGCCC